GTCTTTTGCCTTCTCACCCGTATCTGAGTATGGCGCTGTGGGACGGCGTGTAAGACTCCACACATATTTCCCGACGGTGGACTCGATTCAGCATACGAAATGTTTCCTGCTTGTACCGTTTATGTAACCACACGTTGCCACGTCTGCAAGGCCCATGAAGAGCACGCGCCCATACGGGGGAAATAAAAGCACAGATCAGCATATGTCGTATTCCGCACAAAGCATATTTGTGCAACAGAACCGGTGGAAGGGAAAAATAGGACTCGGGATCGCATGCCTTCGTTTAGGACGGAACCGGTACACTGTGGGGCATGCGTTCGTGGAACGAACGCACGACAGAAGTATTACCGCGCTCCTTTTTCTCGACTTTCGATAACGAAGCGACGGCCACTCGCAATATCGCAATATATTGTACGGGGACGCATTTCGTACCTAGAAGCAAAAACGAGCCGTGCACTCGCGCAATACGAGCAGGAAACATTCGCACCACGATTCTGATGCTCAAATCTTTCTGTTTTCCCAAATGACGCCCATCGGCTGCTAAATGGGTCGCGCGATGGAAGCCACACAACTAGCAGAAGACACCTGGGAAAGGCGCTCGCGCGTTCCTGGACGAGACGTGGATAGACCCGCTTTTAACGCAGGTACGTACCCGTGTCTCGTGGAAAAGTGAATCTTGGTTTTTGGGGTGGGATGGTTTGAGGGCCCGGAGCACTCCGTGCATTACGTTGCAGCGATGTGACATTGACGGTGAAATAAAGTATCTCGAGCCGCAACGGCTCTTTTCTTCTTGTGGTTACAGTTCTTCATAAAGAAGTTTATCAATCAGGTCAGCCGATAGTTTGCCCAGGTGAACGATACGCAGCAGTCTCGGTTTGATGCCTACGCTGGATTCTTGCTGATCTTCCATTTAGTTTCTTTCTTGGAAATGTCCGCCACCCACTTCCCGAAAAGTAATAACATCGTGCAGTAGTACAGCAGCAAGGGCCAGCCGGTCCCAACGCCAGGTGCAGATGTCATTTCAGATATGGTGGCGCTAGTGCTAGTAACAGTCATAGTGGGCCACAAGGGCCACAAAGGCCACAAGCGCAGACGCTGTCCCGCACCTGGGCCAGACATCAGACGAAGAAACGCGACGGGGAAGGCGCAAAGAACAAGCAACATCGCGAAAATCAAGTCAAACACGGTCGAGTTGACGCGACGCACCAGCCCAAGACTCTTTAGACCACGCCCGCGCAGCTATGGCCAACAGTCTCCCGCATGAAACTCGCCCATGCCGAAAGAACCGATCGGGAGGCTACGGATCTCTGCAACAACGACACCATGGCTAGTTCGAGAACACTCCGATGGAGAAAAGAAAGACGTAAAGAAAAGAAAACAAACGGGGCACAGGAACAAGATGCATCACCGGAGCCGCCGGCAAATTGACACGTCGTTCTTTCCTCCTTTACTTCTCTTAAGATTGGTAGAGAAAATTGTACGAGTTTGTTTGGCGGGGGGCTGCAGACTCCTTTTGTCCCATATCTCGCACGGTTCAGTATGCGGACGTTGAGACAAAAAGACAAAGTGGTTGCATTTCCCCCATCACGACAATTCACCAAACGCGCCACGTCGGACTGCGGCAACGTAGCGTCGTATCAGGTGACCTGGCCAGCCATTTCACCAGACCAAGTCTCTTGGTCTGTTCTCTCATCCCCTGGCTTAGGGCTGAACGGGCTACCATGCAGCCCGAACCAGACCCTTGTCGGCTGTTTTTTATTTGGGGGGAGAGGGGGGGTTTCTCTCTCTCGATCACACGCGATTTTGTCTGATCTCTTCCCCTATTGGCGCTCCGATCATCAGCCGGGAACACGGAAGGTAGGGGGATTGCAAGGGTTTGGGCCTTCGCTTTAAGTCCGGGGCCGCGACGAGGCCCTTGTGTCTTCCATAAAACCAGCTCCGCCTCTTGAATGGGATAGTTTTCAGGCGACTAGGGGTTGGTTTTGACATGGGCAAGTTTGATGCAAGACAAAGCTGGACAAGTGGACAGGCTGAAAGAAAAGGAGGACAAGTGGACAGGCTGGCTGAAAGAAAAGGAAACGACAATGCAACTGTGTGGTATGTTAAAACCGTTGCCAGCTTGATTGGTGTCCCGAGCTTTTCGTCACTTGTTCGTGGAGATTGGCATTGGCCAGCGTGCGCTGGTATTGGCAAAGACAGGGCCTCTACGACACGACACGCGCGGTGGCTTTTCCGGCGGTCCTCTCAGAAGAGCCTGTCACATCGATTCGCATCGTGACAGCATCCGAAAACCCCTTTTTATCTCGTTCTCGCATTGTTTCCGCTCATTTTTCCTCGACAGGAAACCGCAGACCTCGTATCACAGCTTACGCATAACGCTTCCAACCCTGCGATGGGTCCAATTTTTGCTCATGGACGTGGAATGGTTTGACTTGTATGGGGGCTGCGCAGCGCGCAAAGCACACCACGACAAGGTCTTCCTAGCCACCCCCTTCAATGCATGAATTTGGCAGCTCAATTAGGATGCGGCTGAAATTCACATAGCGAGGCAACGATTTTTATGCCGTGATGTCGTCAGTTGCTTGTAAACGCTTGTCTCGCCTTTCAAAACAACTGTTCTACATAAAAAAAGAATCAAATAAGACGCAGAGCCAAGGGAGGACTCAGTTTAATGGACTGTTGCACCTCGTACTTTCTTTTATCTGTCATGCTCTTTGCTGACACTCGTTATTGGTATCTTTTCTTTCTCTTTTTCTCTTTGTTCTTTTGTATGTGTTCCTCCGAGTGTCTCACCGTTCCTTCTTTTTCCACATAAACTCACATACAAACCTCGTAACTGCATGCGGTACCCCATATTTACAGTGTAAATCGCCATTTCCAACCTACACGTTGTGTAAGACATGCATCGCCAACATTCCAACCATTTTTTGAGTACAGCCCCCACATGCTGTCTTTCAGCATGGTTGCTTCCTTTGTCGTCCATTTGCCCCTCTGCTGTAGTGCTCTTGGGAGGTAAGGTATGGCACATCCACCTCGGTGTCTGACGCACGGGACGGCAGTGGCGTTTTGTTTTTGTCGTACGCCGTATACTACACAATAACAAGGGACCGGGTAATAGACAAATGAAGAAAAGCGACCTGTACTACATAGCCAAGAGATGTTCCGTCGAAAACGGGTTAAGTTTCCCTTTTCAAAATTGCTGTAGTCTTCAGCTTAAGAAGGTAGTACTCACTAACTCGCCAATCCCGAAGTAAAGATTCAAGGCAAGTTCATATCATGCTCTGTTTATAAGCCGTTGTGCCGTAAGATCCAGTGACGCGTTTCTTCTTCTAATCGTCGCCCACGAGATATTTTATCCTTTGTTTGTGCACGTCTAAACTATGCGCGAGAATTGACAGGTCCGGAATGGAAATCATGTGAAATTTTGCAAAGATGACATGGGATTGGGAATGTCATGTGTCCTTTGCCTCTCCCAATGTCAACAAAGGATCTCCACAAAATAGCTGCGTCGTGGCATCATCACCGATGGGTCAGCGTGGTCCAGAACAAACAGATCAAGTAACCGAAAGCAGATTGTTTGAGCCCTTACATGCATGTACGGAGCATTACGGAGTGCGGGCAAATCCAAGCCGCTGCCTGCTGGAAATATTCTCTGAGTCCTGTTTCACCTTTCTTTTGTTTTCGTTGTCTTGCGCATCGCTGGAGCCCATATTACTCGTCATTCAATTTAGCCTGCATTCATCTCTATCAAACATAGAAGTTGCTTCTCTAGCCATGGCTTCTCCTGCATGCACTTCCCGGGATGCAGTCATAGTGTTAGAAGCCGAGGGTGCCGTGGACAGTTGTCCTGTTAACTAGCCATTACTTGACTGTCTTTCCACCCTTCTTTCACGATTTTTTTTTATAAAAAAACCGGGTTTAAATGCGAAACTGGCGTTCAGGGCTTCTTATTTTATCTCATGATATAAACAACATTTCATGAATATATATTACTGTATTTCAGGGGAAACACAATAGAAAGGATAAATTAAGCCGTCTTGTCGATATAACGTAGGTCTGATCCTTCTGAATACCATGTAATGTTTGGTGTCAAAAGCCCCAACTCACGTTTCCTTGTGTTTGTTTCAATGTTTAGCCCGTTTCCCTGGGCCCTGCAGTATTGGTGATGTAGTGTATCAATATTTGTGTATTACAACATCACACTCTTATATCGTTTGGATTCGGCTCAAAATTGGCGAAGAGCGGGAGCATCGTTTTATATTGAGGCGGTGCGACCGGGAGAGAAAAACAAACCAGTCATTACGACGTATATGTCTTGTTCCTCTTCCCCTTAATCAAATCCCGTGTGCAATCTATCTTACTTCGTTCACACCCTCTTTTGGGTTGCGCCTGCGAGATACGCGAGAGCACAACAACAGGTACCGAGACGCAGCTAGCCACCTCGATGTCAACATGCGGAAAGCTCGGCGAGTTCGACTCTCGAGCCCACGGGATGAGACAAGCAGGAGGATTTCTTACATGATATGGACGGCAGAAGCTGTGAGAGGGAGGAATGGAAGGATCCGAGGAACGACGGGACAAATGCAACTCTTCAGGCCTGGCAAAAATACAAGGCCTCTGGAAAATATCCAGCCCGCGAGAATTATCAGAGAAACGGAAGTTTGAGTAAACTTCCCGGAGTCCGGAAAACTCGTCAATCGACATGTAGATGAGAAGAAATGTGGCTCGTGGAAACTATCTGATGTGTAGTCGTAGCGAAAAGCAATCATGAGATAAGGGGACGCACACCAACTAGACATACAAGGTAAATCCAAATTTAAAGCGTCAAAGGAGTACTGACCCAGGGAGTAAAGAAAGTAACAAAGTTCAGAACCAAGACAGCACCAAGAAACGTCAAAACAAAGTGTATCCGTAGAATCCATCTCATATTCGTTAATAATACCTTGCCGCCAAAACCATACAACAAAGGAAACGAAGACCAAGGTGGCCAAAACCGCGCATCATGCCAATCCGAACCGGTTCTGCCGAACCTTGGGAGTCGACATGGCAGTGTATTCATAGTCGAGATCGCGAACGACTTTAGTGTCTGCCCCGGCATTCTTGCCGAAACGAAGAGAGCTGTCGCCAAAACTGGTGGACGATCCGGACGACGAGGCCAGCGATCGGTCGTTTTTGCTGTCCTGAGAACGAGTCTCTCTTGCACCACTCGTTTTTTTATTGTCACTGTTGCTGGTGCCACCAAGACCTAGTGCACCGAGCATGCTCTGCAGCACCCAGATGGGAAACGTCATCACTGCTGCAGTGGCTATCATGACACGGCGTGGGATGAAGAGCAGCAGCTCTAGAATTGCCTCAGAGGCCCAGAGGATAGTCGTCCACATGGCTTCTGCAAGACTACCCGGGGACAGAGTGATCGATGTGGGTGTAGCGGACAGGCGGCGGCTGCGAAACGGAGTCCGCGCGCTCCCCGCTGCTGCCGAAGCCAGCGCCATGGCATCGGCCAGCCTCTGGTCCGTTGCGCGAAATTTGGCCACGACCTGACTCTCGAGCAGTGTCTGCTGCTTGTGTGTACGCCGCAGCGCCCGGGCAAGCGTATCGAGCTCGGGCTGCAACTGGGCGCGAACTTCACGCATTAGTTGATCACGCTCGCGCTTCGTGTCGGACGGGCTGCGATGCATGACCTTTGCACTGGCACTGGCCCGGCCAATGTCGTCTGGCGAGCTTGCAGAGCCATTGTTGATGGGCGAGGGCGGAGACGGAGGCGACGTTGGCAAAGGGAAGTAGGAAGTGGGCGTGGACGACGTGTGGTGTGTGGATGTGGGCTTTGAAGTGGAGGTTGATGCTGCCGCGGACGCGGCCTCGGCGACCGCGGCTTTGGTTTGCTGTTCAAGGCTCTCGAAGCGGTGCAGCAGATCGGCCAACTGCTCGTTTTGCTCTTGCTCCTCCAGCGCGCGCCGCTCGCGGTACCGCTCTTCCTCTTCACGGTAGGGGTTGACGTGCACGATGCGCTGCAAGTGCAGGGTCCGGGATTTCACAAGCTGCAAAAAGTGACGGAGTGGCCGTACTTCGGCCGCCAAGATGAACACGGCCAGATTGAAGTTGGACACAAGACCCTCTGAAGGACGGGTCAGCTGGCTGCGCAATGCATGCAAAAGGTACGCTCCGGCAATGGGAGCCGCAAAGCATGACAGCAGAGCCAAAGTTTCATGGCGGTACAGCTCTTTTAGTGCTGTTTCTTGTCGCTTTTGAAACGCCTTGCGGTCCTCCAGGCGCTTCTCGCGCTGCTTTTTGTTGAATGCAGCAACCCGCTCGTCCGGCGTAGGCGGCTTTGGCCCATTGTTCTCCGTCTTGTCAGCCTTTGCCGGCGATGTGGAGTTGCCGTCGTCCGTCTTGGCGTCTTTTTTCGCGTTCTCTGCGCCCTCCTCCTCCTCTTCTTGCAAATCGCCCAGGGGAACAGGAGGTGGTAGGTCCTCTTCGGCGTCGCAATCTTCGATATCAGAGTCGATCTCGACCGCAAAATCTGCGTTCGCTTCGTGTTCTTCGCGAATTTGCTGAGAATCATGATACCAGGACCTGCTCCTGTCAGCACAAGAAACGGCAATGCGCAGGTTGAAGATAAATAAGGCTGTTTATCAAAAAGCCTTCTGAACGACGTACCAAGGCTGCGTAACGCTCCAATGGAGGAAGATGCCGCCGATGGCGAGCAGCATCAAGTCGGACACAAAGGAATCGCCTCCCTTGACAAATAGGCCGCCCAAGGCCGGCAGCAGCGCGAATGCCAAGGGCAGGGAGTCCCAACTGCTTGTTGGCTCCTGATGCTGCGACAACTCGGCAGATCCAGCGAGCGGACGGGGATTCAGAAGATCGCGTGCATCCTGGCTGTAGTCGGAAAAGTTGGAGCTGCGGCGTCGGAAGGCGGCTGCCGGGCTACCTGTCGAGGCTGCGCCACCTGCATTCACACGGTCGTATATGTTGTTCGCGGCATTGAGCGACGCAATGCTCGAGAAGCTGTTCCGATGCTCGTCAAACGACGTCGAGCCGCGTCGCTTTCGGAGTCCATTACCACTGCTGCCAGCTGTGGCAGACGTCGTCTCTGCCGTCGCGTCGGCCATGGGTCTTGACATCCGCCGGCTGTCGGGCGTCCTCTCGCGAACGGCCATGGGACGTGCGACCTGCCAAATCAACCGCGATGTTGTATCTAGTGCGCGCGGTCGCGGTCGCGGTCGCGGCTGGAGCTGTACACGAATGCGTGTTACCGTTCTTGCCGAAGGTCTGTTTGCATCGCCTCGGGGGGAATTGGGTGGCAGGTCGGTAATGAGAAGCCACCGTTCGCATATGTAATTGGAAGTAAAACTTGTCCTTTTATTGATGTCTTTTCGTTATGTTAGCGAGGGAGACGACCAGCCCTGGCGCGGTGAGACAACTCATCCAAGGGAGTCTTCCTAAGGGAGTCGATAGGATATTGTGGTTGGAGGAAATACAAGACAGTGAAGCCCGCGTTGTATGACGTAACTTAGGGTCTGCTCTGGCCGAGGCTCATTAGCACAGTGGGCAACACTAGTGGCAGTTCCTGGCCTTCCGGCGATATTTAGAGTGTATTAGCATATGGGTATTGCGGGGGAAAGCACCTAGCTCAACTCCGTTAATGGCCCTACGGCTCATCCCATGTTGCGTGGATTGTGATAACACACGCCGCGTAAGTACCGAGAACCGTGTGCTCTTCACAAATACGACAAGGTTTGGATGCGCAGTTCATTTTATCGAGATAAGCCTTGGGATATTAGATTTTACCTACGCATTATGCACGAGAAACCTGTCACCGATAATATGAATACTAATATGAATATTGAATACTTTTGTGTATCGTTGTCAATATTAACGTGTAAGATGCACAGCAGTTTAAAAGATACGAAAGCCGTTAAAATGAGCAATACTTTGGTGTTTGTTTAATGTATTGGGGAAACATACAAATCTCATTGCCCTTTTGCTACAGTGCTTTGGCACGCCACAGAAAGGTCCTCTTTCGACAGGAAGGCTTATTGTGTGCTTGATAGGACGATTGTATATCATAGTCACCGTCATAAAATAACGAAACGAAACAGCATGTCGCCATCAGGAAGGGAGGTATCGCGGGAGTGACCATTGTGAAGACACGTAGAGAGGAGCACCCCTGCACGTGACGTAAGATACGACATCCGGCGTTCGTCGGATTGGGTGCAATTCTACGAGACAATGCACCGGATTTTGCCCAGTCGTCAGTCATATTGGACCCATGGCGTCGCGCGCTTGGACTGGCCACAGCCTCGAGCGCACGAGGATTCCTGTTTGCCTCCCCCCTAATTCCTTGCCATGGCTTTCCTGGGACCAGGGTGTGAGGAGCAATACGCAGCACAGTTGCCATATATATGATACGGAGGATGCATAAAGTCGTTGCCTCCTTCCTCTCTTTTCTCTTCTCTGCTTCGATTCCTCTTTCTTCTCTCCTCTTTCCTCTTTTGATGTTTGACTTTTTGTGCTGTATTAGCTCACACAAGCTCACAATCCATCGCTCCTGCCTGTCTTTCGGAATTTGTGGATGGTTTCTGGTCGACAACCCCAATTTGGCAGTCATCTCCCAGAACGATGGGACGGTGCTGGACCACTGCAACGCCGCTAAACTGCACTGGGACACACTTCTCTGGTAGCGTTGGCTCTGCTGCGACAGCCATTGCCGTCTGCAGTGTTGCTTCCGCTCCAGGGACAGCGTCCCTTTCCTGCTACCCCTTTCACGACCACCTGGTCGCTTGTCTGGGTCGCGCCTGCCCGAGAGTCCTTGATCGTCGCCAACACCAGCCTAATCCCCAGTTACAATCTAACTATCGGCGTCCTCGTAAAGGTGTTGTGTCCTGCTGTTCCTCTTTCTGCTCTTTCCCCTTTTCGTTATTCGACTACAGACTTGAAAAATTCTCTCCATTTCAATCACAATCTACATCTCGACCCCAATTTTGGCTTCTCTTTCCACCAATTCCCACGCACTTGTCCACATCGACCGCCTCCAAACCCGCACCATTCGCCAATTCCACCGACACTGTTCCGCCACTGCGATTGGCTGCTGCACACAGTGATCGACTGCACGCATTTTTAGCCTGGCCGCAGCGGCAAAGGAGATTGCACACACCATTAGTTGACCTGTGTCTCAACATTTTCTTTTTCTTGTCCCTCCTGTTTCTCCTCGCTGTCCGACGTCGTTCATCGCTACCGCCCAAGCATACACCCTCTCTGCTTTCACGTGTCGCAGCGGACGCCTTCTCGGCAGCCGCCCTCTCTCTCTCGTTCCCACGGCTCCCCACGCGACACACGCCTATTCTGCGCAAGCCTTTCCGCCGCAGACCACCGCGCAGCACCAGCAAACCCTCCGGCGTCTCTCGGCGCAACCATCAGAGCCGCAGCTTTTGCATCACCCATCCGCTCCGCTGGACTACCCACAGCCGCCCTTCCGCCTTCCCCAACCCCCCTTTCGCAACCGAGCTGCCGATACCCTGCAACGGCCGCTTCGACGCCTCTCGACTGCTCGTCTCTGGAACCCGACCAATTCCACGCCACGCGGCGTCGCTTCCTCGTCGTCGACCACACGACAACAACAGCTACAGCCACAGAAACAACACGCCCAGCTGCAGCCTCAACGGCTGCACTCTGGAGTCGCAGGTGCATCCACGGCCCGCCGGCGGGCGCCGTCCACTCCGCCGCCGCCAGCTGTTCCGCTCTCCCACCCCGTTCTCGACGGCGATACGCCCGTTGCCAAAGACGACCTGGCTGGCACCGGAGCCGCCGACTTTCCGCTCCTTACTCTCCCCGAGCAGCGCCAAATCCGAAACACCGCTTCACCCCGTGCCAGTCTTCAGGTTGAACGTGCTGGAAGCGAGAAGCGTGTGAGCTTGCCGAAATCCGTCCGCCACTCCTACGAGGGCAAGCGACTCTCTGCTCTCACGATAGATGCTGCCGACGACAACAGCGGAGTTGAGCCCGACATTCTCGCAGCGTCGAGACTGCAAGACAACAGCCTGAACGACGAGCTTTTCCTTTCCTCGCAACAGCAAAGAGCAAACGACCGCGAAGCAGAAGCGGCTGATTCGCCAACACAAGCTTTTGGATTGACGTTTGATTCCGCCCCCGGACAGGCAAAGCTAGACAAGGGGAAGAGCAAAGCCTCACCGACAGACAACATCATGGCATCTCCTGTCGACGATGAACGCCCTGGAGGGGCGGGCCGTTCCTTTTCAAAGGACCTCGAGCGCGGACCGGATATCCTGGGCCACCATCATGGCCTAGAAGAAAGCCAGAACAACCGCAACTCCACGGCGTCTCTTCCCGATGGCATGGGAATCGGTTCGGCCATCTCCTCGTCCAACTCGTCCATCATGGGCGACCCCGAAGCACAGCCCGACATTGGCGAAGAATGGGGCCCGCAGCACCCGTGTTTCCCCCACCGCAACCCGCATGTGTCCGTCGATGACCCGGAATACATTACGACGCGTATCATCCGCATCCGGCGCGACTGGCTCATCATGGGCGACCTGGCACCGACCTTTTCGAACCTCTATCCTGAGATCCTCGACCCGGCCGGCATGAACGAGCCCGAGTTCCGCCGCGTCATCGACAAGCTGAACCGCGAGCTGACCATTGCCTTTGAGCCCTGGAGCGCACGAAACATTGTAGATGGTGTGCTCAGCCTGGTGACGGGCTGGCTGTGGGAGGACTTTGGCTTCACTGGTGCCAAGGCACGCCTGGCCCGGCTCGAGCGCTGGATCGAGGCGTGGAACAAGGAGATGGCACGCACCGCAGACGAAGGCGCGCCGGTTCCTCCCAAGATTATTCCGTTACGGCAGACTGGCTACATGACGGTACGTATTTCCTCCCTTTGTTTTTTCCTCGACGATTTAAGACTTTTAAAACTAACGTGTTTGTCTCTGTCAACAGCTCGACATCCAGATTGGCGACCCAGAAATTGCAGCGGTGCCGCCAAGTACACCGGCCATATCCCAGTCTGGTATGCCTCTCGAGGCAACCGTAGCTAGCTAGTTGTCGGTTTCGGATTCGTCGCAGGAAAGCGTTCGCAGTCAGTAGGGGGTGGTGTAATTCTTGCGTTCCTTTTTGCCCCTTTGTGTTTTCTTTCTAGCTGTCCTATCTTTTTTTTGTTGTTGGATACTGTTGCGTTTTGATTCCCTCCTTGCCTGTCATTGGTTTATATCCATGTCTCTTTGTGATCGCTTTGACCTCATTATCACTTTTATTCATCTCCATTACACGTACTGGGCAACTGGCGACCTTTTTCCTCTCTTTTCCCCCCTCTATTTCTTTTCTACCTGTTGTATTCTCGTTTGCAGCATCGAGTAGCTTTAGCCTGGCGTTGCCCTTTTTTCCTACTTACTTTCATCATGCCTTCGGCACAAATATAATAACTTCTTGTCTCAAACAGTCCTTCAACATCATGACTAGCCCTTAAACCCGAGTGAAGGATAAATAGACCATGTGAATGCTATTTAGAGTGAATTGTTCACCCCTTTTAGGTTGTATAAAAGTGACTTTGTGCTAATCTATGCAATATGTAAACAAATGACAAAACGCCGTGCCCAAACTACCTCGTTCCATGCAATCAGCCCCGAGAGGCGCCCTTCTTCTTGCGCATCATGCGCTTCCGTTGGATAATCTGTTGGCGCACGGCCAGCTTTGCATCGGCCCGCTCCTTCTTGGACGGCCGCACACCATCGGCGCCCGTGTCGCCCTTGCCGGTCTTTGCTGCTGCCTTGGCAGCCTTCGAAGCTTGCGCAAGGGTCTTCTCGCCGCCCTGCTCAGATGCTCCTTTCTTGTTCTTTGTCGACTTATTAAAGTTCTCCGCTCTGCTGAACTTGCCAGGCTTCTCTGATGGCTTCTGCGACTTGCCCGACTTGTCAAACTTGCCAAACTTGGAATTGCCGCGTGGTCGGCCGTTCGATGGACCGTTGGTTTCGTCGTTCGCCTCACCCTCTGGACGCGGTGGGCGCGGGTTGCGCGACCGCTCCTCGTTGGCCTTGCGACGTGCAACCACGTTGGCGTTCTCAATCGCAAACTCGACAATCAAGCGGTTCGTCTTGTTACCGTTTTGTACTGCGTGGCCGTTGAGCCAGCGAAGCGCCGTCAACGC